TGGTGGATGGCGATAGTAGTGGTGGAAACGGACGGCGGTCGGAGGGAGAGGGTGCGGCATCGTTGACGGTGGTAGGTGTCGGCGGCGGCGGCGGCGACGGTGGCGGTGGCGGTGGTAGGTGGATGGGCGGGTGGGTGGATAGGTGGGTTGATGGCAGTGGTGGTGGTGGTGATGGTGGCGTGGGTTGATTTCAGTGTTCGCGCGGCCGCTCCCTGTCGCACACGGACGACTCATCCCGACGTTACCGGCATCGCGACGGCTCCCGCAATCGCCGGCGAAAACGTGCTCGCGGAAAATATGGTCGCGCGGTCGCCGCACGCCGCTCTGCTCGCCGCTTCGGAAAACTCGATTCGCTGACTACGAATGTAATTCGCTCCGTCGCGTTGCCGCCGGCTCGCCGCGCCGGAATTTGGAGCTTTTTAATCGGGAGCCGGCAAGTGGCGAACCGTCGCGGCCTCTCGCTTCTCTGTATTTTTATCTCTCTCTCTCATATTTTTTTTATCTCCGAGTGAGTCGAGCATCGCTACGTAACGCGAGGCGTCGTTGCAATTGCGACGTGCATAGATGAAAAATTAGTCTGTCTGCTCTGAATCGGTGGCTTTATCTACACTCTTCTTTTTTTGGGGAGGAACTTCGATCGTTAGCACGTGGTCTGTGATAATCCTCGTGAAAGTGGGGTTGCTTTAACGAAGTCACCGACCGTTGTGTCCACCTGTGGATAACCGTATGAATTCGTTTGGTGACTTCGAAGTACAGTGTGTATTTAACGATTTGTGCTGTTATATGCTAATTATTTAACAGTGTATAACTTTCTTTCGTCAATCAATTAACTAAAGTACTGATTATCATCTTGCAAGATTAGAACACATGATGTACTTTGTTAATTAAATGCAAAACGTTATTAATGTGGATTATTTCGTGTATATCAGCGCATTCTCTTTGGACTTTTTCTATCGACTATAATGACATTATAGTTATTTATGAGCTATTGCTTATTATTAATTATTACTCGAGGAACTTTATGAAGAATATATTTAATAATGGTAAATGAACTGAAAAAGCTCTCCGGAGTCAAATGACGTTAACTAACTATTACTTTTAGTTTGGCTGTTAACACGTGGCTCGTGACGATTCTCATAAAAGTGTACTTGTTTTAGCGAAGTTGCGTGCTAGCGATAGCTTGTGGATAATTCTACGAAGTATTCGCGTATTCGAATCGATCGCGTTTTTATTTTCTAGACATATTCTCACATATTTTCATAAATTGATAAGACGAATGCGTAACGACTTTATCTCTTTGTCCATCTTAAACTATGTTCGGACAAAATATTTCAGATATATTATGATATATTCAGCTGTAATTTTTCTTGGAATCTGTAATCCTTTATTAAGATGTCTGTGATGACGCTTCCGTAATATTACCGGGAGCTGCTTTTGTTTAACATCCTTTGTCAAAGAGGATTATTTTCCTACAAAGAATTCAATTTGAATATAAAGTACAGGATTGTCTTAAGCAGAGTAAAGCTGTAGTTGTTGCCAAACAAAAGGGCAGGAAGCAATTGTAAAATCTGGTGCATCGAGAGACTTTTTATATTGCAACTAAAGGAAACTAGAAAAATAGATATGTCGTTGCAATGACCATGCTAACGATCCAAAACCAACAAGTGTCTTAAATCAACAAGTCCGAAGTATCAAGGTCAGGACAGGACTATAGAGGCAAAGGCTTGCCGACGGAAAGTTCTCATTGTGGTGCTAATTGGCGGCTGTCCTGCGTTTTGGAGTACTGCAAGTAATAGCTGCTGTTTCCCGTGATATTCTCAGATTGGGATATCGTTACGGATTCGCTGTGCGGATTAATCGTAGATAATTACTTTTCACGTCGCGCACGTGTTGAATAGTATGTGCTTTGATCGTAGAATTGGCACTTAAAGTTTGCCGAAACTTGATTGCTACATCAGACTAGAATTCAGTGAATTTATCTCTTGCGTACTTAAGTTCTTCTTTGCTCGCTTGCTGTGTACACATATATGAAAGATTTATATAATTAAAAATTTAATTTGTATGCTGACGATTACGAGATTCTAGTGAAAACTTCCAACATTTCGTAAAGTTGAAAACAACAAATCGAGCAATTATATCGAACATAATTATTTTGAAATGATTGAAGATTCTATGTTTAACAGAATCAGTTAAAATAGTTTTGTATATATATTATTATTACCTGATATAGTTTGTTAAAAGAAATGATAATTGTGTAACAGATGCCCTCGAAAAACGAAATATAATTATATCTTGAAATAAATATATCTAAAAATATTGCTGCTTAATTTTATAAAATTGCCGAGAGCAATTTAATTTTTAATTTTTATGAAAACAAAATGCTATACGTATAAAAATCTTCTCGTCCAATAAACATATCACGATAAATCTCTGTCCGCCAAGTCCGCGAAATCCCGTCGCACGAGGGACCATTATCTGGCAGACAGAACGACGTTAATTATTCCTGCCAAAGGACACACGATAAATGTGCTGCAAATTGCGCTTTCGACATTAGCACGACTTCTTCGAGATATGATAATCGTATCAAATGAGTAATGAGTATACTTCTTTAAAAAGATAAAAAGATAAGTAATCAATTAAAATTTACTGTTATTAAAACAAGAACAAAATTATTACGTATTTTCTATAAAATACCAAGAGAGATCTATTGCAAGCGCATGTAAGTTGCTCGCGCATTGCGACACGCAAACTCGCAGAGGAATTATAGAAGGACTCGTAGGGGAGAAAAAGAGTTAAGTTACAGTGGATTGTCTGCTTGAGTGGATACATAACTCGAAATATAATACGTGAGATATCCAGTTCGCTCTACAGTAGCGAGAAAATCTGCAAGAGAGTTTGGCGTGGATCAAATTTCATTGAGACCACTGACATTTTGTAGCGGTGAAGTGTTAGAAATGTGCAGATTCCTGGAAAAATAAGGAAGAAAAATATTATGCCGCGTTAATACATTCTTTGGAAGCGGGGGTAACATTAAATACGAGAGACTATCACAATACTGGTCATACCGCGGAGTGCTGTCGTCTCTTCGAGCTTTCCATATTTTTCGATGATACATCCTCGGAATGGTATATTAGGAGGTAACTGGACGAAGATCGAAAATATCAATGGCGAGCATCTGCTGAAGTGAATTTCGAGTGCTTCGATGTCGTCGATCTCCGAGGAGCATTAAGCCTCTCCTTACCACTACCTTTATCCGTTCACGGCGTCATCGGATTCCAATTATGTCGCAGCATCGAAGAGGTTCCATGCACGGCAGCAGCCCCGTTCCGGGTCATCCAAGCACGGCCGTTTCTGCATCCTCCTCCTCCTCCTCCGCCTCTCACGAGGTACAAACGAGAGGGATACCTTTGCCCGGAATGGTACCATCGCGCTCGATCCACGTCAGTCCTATGCATGGGAATCCGATCCACGGGTTCGTCAACCCCCTTGGACCGGGCGGTCTCGTTCATCCTCCGCCTCCCACGCATACGGCGGCCGCATCCGGAATTTCTCATCATCCATCGAACGTTCACCAAGGTATCGGAACTTCCGCCTGAGCGATGGTTATATAATATAAAGACCGTGGAGGCTGTTTTGAACAATAGGCTCTTTGTTGAAATGGACTATTGTCAACGTATACATAATGTACCGTCATATACATCGAAATCTTTTCTCACCTATCTCACCTATCGAATATTAATATTAAAATGTACGTTCTCGTATTTCTCGCACATATTTTTGATATAAAATATCTTTCTAATTATATGAAAAATGAAATCTCTCGTTTATAATAATGAAATTATTAAATTTTTAATTACATCACTCAATTATAATATTTTAATTTTGGAACAATTATTATTTTTCTTATGTAGTATGGTTTCTAATATCCGCAGGAAGGCACGCCGTTATTAGATAGTGTATTTTATATCGCAGTTAAAAGAAAAAGATCATTTAAAAATTTTATAAAGTACACAAATGTCATAAATTTTACCTTAAGAGTTAAATTACATCTAATCATAATTGCAAAAAATTCACGTTAAAAGTTGGACGGTTACCAAACGATGGTGTTCGATCAATTATACGTTATAGGCGGCGCAGTGAGGAGTTGGACGTTCATTGATCTCGCGACGATCGGTAGAGCGTGTAATTGGGCCGCGTTGATAGATGAGCTATGACGTATTCGACGTGCTCGCGATTAAAAGATAGACGGACACGTGATGTCCGCTACGTTCGAAATTGGAAACTTGTTTCGGAAAACGTTATCCTGAACGCGCCGCTTCCTCGCTTTATCCGTGATTTACCTTGGTCTAAAACATCACAATGCCCGCCAAAGGGACGCGGTGCTTGTACATTGTTTACACAAGCTTTGTTTTTTATTAAGCTTTTATAAAACTACTAGCTTGCCTTGTCAATATATTCATCCATATTCGGTTTTACTTATAAATAATTCATTTGATTTACTCTATTCAGTTGACGCTGATCGAGCGTAGAAGAACATCGAGTAGTAGAACATTTCTAGTGAGAAAAAGGATTTTAAATCTGGACACATTTTTCAAGTGTTTATATTGAGTGCAAAATTGATTGTTAATTGCATAAGATTTGTGTAGGAAATGGGTAGTATTTATGTACGCATAATGAAACATTAAAATTTTAAGGTATCGGTAAGTGTATCGAAAAGTTTTACGAGCCATAAAAGTTTGTTAGAAAGATTTCAACACGGTAGTTTCTGCGTGCTAAATAAAGTGCTGTTTCCTCTCGTATATTAGAAGCCATTTTTATACTAGTATAAATCTGAGATACTGAAATACTTTTCCGATATATCGACTATTTTCACCAAACATCGGATATCAAATCAAAGAGATGTATCGACGACGCTGTTTTTTCCTTCGATAGTTTATTTATACAGCCTTCACTGATCTTTCGTTATTCGTGTCGGGCATCTCGTGCGATTATTCGTCACGCGGATATTCACTCGAAGGCACTACCGAGAAGATACTGCCACCGGGCTCTCCATATTCGTCGCACGGTTCTCCATTGAGGACCCCAATGAGCTCTGGTCACGGCAGCCCCCAGGACTCGCCGCACGTGGTCAGACATCGCAGGGACTCTGAGCATTCATCCAGCGCTGTATCAAGACGTGGTTCGTCGGATGTGGTTTCTCCTCTACCGGAAAGTCATCCCTTAGGCTCGCCAGACGGTCGCGGCCGTCGGCGCTCTGACTACAGCCCTCATCAGGGTAGGTCCATACACGATGTGACAGCAAAAGAATATGAGATTAAAAAGGCAAAGTCTAACTCTACTGTTTGGACAAGGATGTATCGAAGCAAATTGCAAATTGAAAGATTTACTTTAAGTTTACAAGCACATTCAGCGTATTTTTAATATAATCCTTTGCAGCCCTAAACGCTAAATGACATTGATTACACAGTATTGCTTTGAATATAAATCCGTTATTATTATGTTACATCTAGTTACATCTAGTTTTTCACAAAACATGTAATTAATTTATTTTACAAGGAAAGAAATGCTGTAAAATCGTATTTTCGTAGGAATAATATGGAATATTATATCTTATTATTTTATATAATTTATGTAACTTTATGTAACTTCTTTTTATTTTTTTTATCGAGGATTAGTTAGCATTAAAAATGACGAAGGTTATTCAATATTGATTACAACACATCTTTTCTCTTACTCAAATATGCAATAGATAACCATAAAACATTATTCTTTTATAAGTGTTTCGTTCCGATTAAGGCGACTGCGAACGATTGATTTTATCGTAAGCATGTCTGCATTAGGCAACCTTCATTTACGAATTTCCCGGACCCTTCAAAACCTCGTAGAACCCTATGCTGCCCTTTGATCCGACGACCCGTGGCTTTACAACTTCACCGTATATTACTCAAATATAACTGAGAGTTGTTACCGTCAAAGGGAATTGCAGACTTATACGTCGCGCTGTGCTTTAAATACAGTTTACGACTTTATATACATATCTATGATTTACTTCCTCAATTATAATGTAAATAAACATATCGCGTCGTGAAATTATCTTATATATTGATAGGATTTTAAGACTGGCTAGGATTACAGATTCTCTTACGTTATGATAGTTTTTCATGATGCGCTTGATATTAATTATGGAAATTACATGGTTCTAGCAACAAGATGAAATTGCCGAAATACCGAGGATACCGTGAGATAATATTCCATGCTTGTAATGAGAAAGTTTGTGTTATCTAAAGGGAATTCGTAACACGCAACGTGAACCAACTCAGACAATAAATTTAAAGTTACGTAACAAAATATATTGATTAATTAGCTTGTTTGACACATGCATATATAATCAGGTTTAATAGCGGACTATTATTACATTGTTAAAATTGCCATTATTTAATGATTTTATCTTTTCCTGTGATTAAAATCTCTTGTATAATATAAAGAATATTTGTTTATATTTTATTATTAAAACAAAAATCTATTTTAAAATCTATTTAACTTTTATTAAAAGTAAAAATGTTAATTTTTATAATTGAAAATAAGTATATTAATATAAAAATATATTTGACTTATTTAATTTTGCTGAAGTAATATATTTCTTATTATGAGTCATCAGTTAATGAGAATGGTTTAAAAAATCAATTCCATGTGTTTTTCTTTCATTTTCAAGAAAGATATTTATAAAAGGCTTCATAATGAAATTAAATTATAAATATAAATATATATATATATATATATATATATATATGTGTGTGTGTATGTGTATATATATATATATTTATTATAATTAGTAAGGATTTGTATAAGAAAATAAATACAAAAATTATTTATATTAATTTGTTAAACTTTAAAATACATGAAATTGTCAAATTAATAAGAGATGTAAAGATACAAAAGGTATTAAAAGATTAATTCTGATAATGTTTTATTAATCTGAAAATGTATTCATATGAAAAAAGTTGCATTTTTTATTAACTTTTATATTATTATTTTCTGCATATATTTTTGCTGAATTTTCTGCTGATCTTGGACTGCATTTCACAATCTGATGGATATTTTACATTCAGGTAGACTAAAAGAATGGCTTTCAGGATGAATGACATTCTTGCATGCGTTCATTTCGTTCTTGGGATAGATACTACAATAGTTTACATTACCCGTAACCAAAGGGTTGAATGAGGTGTACTACAGTGAAGAGTGCGTGTCTGTGCGTTGCACCGAGGGGTGCGAACGTCATAACTCGCAGTTACGGTTGCGTGTAAAACCAGCCCGGCATATGCTTTTGCTTTCTCAGTGAATTGAGTTTATCACTGTCAGACTCTAATAACGAGAGGGCAAATAGCAAGGCAGAAAACATTTGTGCTTCCGTGTTGTACCTTTTAAGCATCCATTATTGCTATTATGTTTCATTATTTCATCATTATCAAGATAATGATAACTCGGATATCAGGTGGGCAGGCTGCCAGTTTAAATTATTTCCCTTATAGAACGTGCGATTGATGAGAGCCGTTACATAATTGATACTCATTTTCCTATAGTGTTCTATTCTTGTATATAGTCGATAGATATTGTTAATAAAAGGCGTACGACAGTATGTCAAACGGTTTTAAGGTTACGTCCTAGATGTGCACGAGGTAAAAGTGTCGTACTATCATCCATTGAAAAATACGCCAGACTTATCTTTGGACTATTTTTTTTATCGTATTCTTGTTATTACTTCGGTTCTATCACGAATTGCGCCTAGTTCATCGAAAATTCAGACATTCGGCTACGAGAATAGATCGTAATCCGGCGAGCATGACTGTGGAAATTGGGACCTCGTTAGCGACGGCTGAGGAGAAAAATCGCATGACTTTTTTTGGAAGTGGCAAAGGTTATTCACCGGTCGAAACGGTCACCTCTTCGACAGATACGCGGGACCACGTGTACGTAAGCTACTTGCTGTTTTCTTGTCACGTCCGGGCCGTCTGTCTGAAGGAAGAAAAAGGTAGAAAGTTCAGATAAATTACGATAAAACTGATGGGACTTCACGCGAATGGCGTCACCCGTGATATCGAATATCAAGCAATAACGTCTAACGAGCAAATTGATGTGGCGAATTGATAATAAAAATTTGTTAACTGTTAATATATTATTATTATATTACGCTTAACGAATTTCAAGTTTGTAATAATAATATACACAAATCGCAAGAAAAGAAAGAAAAATTGTGTACTGGGACTATAAATGTTTATTGCAGTTAGCAAATAATAATTTAATCATTTTTTTCGACGCCGCGAAGTTCTGGTGCAAAAAAGGAAATTGATATTATAACATTTTTTTTAACAATGTGTCATACTTCATGCAACGAAATTGAAGTTTCGTTTGCATAAAATATATCTCTTCTTTATAACCTGATTTTATTTAATTTATATGTCCGTGGTTTTGAAGCAAAAGCGTCCGCGAATTAATTTAATGAGATTGCAATAAATTTATAATTGTCATATCTGTCACTTTGCATTGGCTTTATATAATGTGATATTATTGCACCATTGTACTCTTTCCGGTTAATTATAGGATTAAATGATGATTTTGCTTTGGAAGTTTCCATTGTTAAGTTGCTAAACTTAAACGAGAGGGACAAGGGTGGAATAGCGAGAGGCAAAGAAGCTACTTAACATAGCATCGATTTGCATGGAAAGTATCTGCTTTTCGTGCAAAT